ATCTTACTTTTTGTCTCCTCCGAATACACCATGGGACAATCACTGAGTCTCCTTTTAGCCCTACTGTTATTACTTGGGGTTTTAGGAATGTTGTTGCCCCTTGTCAACAACAAACTCTTTTTGGCCTATCAGTTGCCTCACCTGTATAGAGGCTGATCCTTTTGTTATAAGAATTAAATGAAATCATGTGAGTGCTCAAGATGCCGAATGCACACTATAAATTCATAGAAAGAAAATGTTTCTATTATATAGTGGAAAAGGAACTGGAGTTGGGGTCAGGCTCCAACTCTGCCACTTCCTATGACCTTGAGCAAGTCATGTATCTTTCTGGAGCCTTATCCTACTTATTTGTAAAATGGGAATAAACGCTACATTTGAAAATGTCAAGTACGTTAATAAGCTAGCTCATGTTAGTCTTCAGTAATTTCTGTGCCACACAGCATGTGGGATCTTAGTTCCCCAACCAGGGGTTGAACCTGCGCCCCCTGCAGTGGAAGTGCGGAGTCTTAACCACTGGATCACCAGGGAAGTTCCAGTCTTCAATAATTTTTTAACACATTACAAATTGCCCTGTATACCTCACAAGGTTGTGATGACTGTGCGAAGATGAAACCAAATGGAGCCCAAGATAAAAACTATTCTCAACTAGTGGGCTAGGAAATTACTGAGTCACACTGGCCTTAGGGCAGAACAACAGCACTTCAGACTTCAGCTTGCTTACTCACTTTAAGGTCTTATGACTCAAGTTTTAGTAACCAAGAGCGATTGTCAGATCTACTGACAATTCACTGCAGTCTTTTCTCAAGTGAGCTAAGGTGGTGGGCTTCTTCATTATGTAGAAAGCAAGGGTTGCATTTTTAGTCCCATGACCTCCAGGTTGTATCACTTAGATGACTTAGTAGGGTCATTGGAGAGGTTTGTCACATTGCTCGGAGGCACTAAGAAATGGGGTAAATTGCACAGGAATTGGCTAAACCTTTCAAGGGCAGAGAGGTATGCAAATGAATATACTATCAATCCTTAGTTATTGCTGGGGTAGGATCATAGAGGGCCCTGCCCATTTTCCACACCTACCTGAAAAAGCATTCAGGTACTTTTTAAAATTTAGCACAGGCCAAACAAAATTAGCCTACCAGTTGGCAGCTTTTGATCTAAAACATATTCTAGCACTAATCAGAGTATCAAGCAAAGTATCATTGATATGTTGCTGTTCTTGGTGCTGCTAAACACCAAAGCTTGGTGTCTTAACTGTGCATGAACTGTGTACTATATATTATATAGATTGACTGGTAATGATGATGTGGGCTCTGGAATTAAGCTACTCAAGTTCAAATGCCAATTGCCCACTTTTTAGTGATATATTATTTTACTTTTTGGTCCTTCAGTTGCCTTATCTATATAGAGGCTGATCCTCTTTTTATAAGAATTACATGAGACCATATGAGTGCAAAGACCCCGACTAGCACATAGCAGTGTGTTAGTCATTTTTAACATTCAAAAGCCAAGGTGTCAAGAGAAGGTGACATATTTGGATTCACTGGTCCTATCCAAGGAAGGAACAGAAAGCACTCCAGAGGGCAGAGCTGAAGGAAATATCTCAAATCAGGATCTTCAAATTGTTATGCATCCTATTTTAGTTCTGAAATTAAATCCAAAGTAAGGAGTTCCCTGGTGGCCTAGTGGTTAGGATTCTGGGCTTTCACTGCCATGGGCCCGAGTGGAACTGAGACCCCGTAAGCCACGCAGCAAGGCAAAAAAAAAAAAAAAGATTTAAACAAAAACAAAGTTAGAAGGGAGAGCTAAATGAGAAAGGACAACATGGAGAACAAAATTGCCAGATAACTTCTATGGTGTTACTTACAGTTTCAGCTCCTGTAAGACAGACAGGGAAAGCTTGCAACAGAGAAAGGGAAAATGAAGTTCTAGTGACACTCTTGAAACAAATGAAGTGCTGACTTAGATTTTCCTGCCATGTGTTTGGTGACAAGGCTAGTAGTTTACTGTGTCTGAGCTGTCTTTGTTTTTATTAAACAGGGCCAATATTTCCATTTGTATCAGGTCTGCCAAAATGCTTTCATTTTTAACCTAAACAATTTTGGTTTCTCTTTTCAAATACTCATACTTTTTATTGATAGCATATACAGAATATAAAAGACCTCAATGGTGAAACAAGACTACAGATAGAAAAATGTTCGGCTTAGAGCAGAAAAAGGCCAGATGACAATGTTTTTTCAACTTTCAATATGGTAATGATGTAACCTTTAGCAATGGCAAAACTATCTGACTAAATGGGTAATAGAAATTAGTGTTTGGTGTCTGCAATTCAGCAAGTCTTCTGGGAACTAAACCTATGTTGAGCCATGAACGACATGAATTTGAACTGCGTGAGTCCACTCATACATGGATTTTTTTTTTCCCAATGGTAAATACTACAGTACTACATGACCCCAGGCAGGTTGAATCTGAGAACGCGGAACCACAGATTCGGAGGAACACTGGACATGAAGGGCCGACTATAAACATGAAAGCCCAACTATAAATTTTACACAGATTTTTTTATTCCATGGAGGGTCAGTGCCCCAACCCCGGGTTGTCTAGAGATCAATTGTATTTCTCTCTCTCTTCTAAAGAGAAAAATCACTAACAGTGTGAGTTTAGTATGTCATTCCAGGTGGTAGTTGATGTTTCACTATTTCAAAGTGGTTGACGCCCCATTAATAAAGTATGTTCAAAGTTAAAAAAATACCCAGGAAACCAAATTGGAAAAAGGAAAAAAAACTTTTTAATTACAAACCAAGTTTACATATTGTTAAATGATCACTAAAAACTTGCTGTAGTCACTCCTAAAACCACTAGCAGGACCTCACAGGAGCCAAACTGCAGCTCTTTCCCACCCCTGTTAATTCCCAGTATGCTGTAGCAGCACAATTATTTCATGCCACATTTATGGAGAACAAGGACCAGTTTACATAAAATACAATTGTATATCCTTAAACATTCCACACAAACATACTGCACATGCTGGCACTGGAAGACTTCAGTCCTAAACATTGTTTATTGTACCCAAAGTACTGGCTGACTAGAAAGTACACTTTCTATCTGAGAGGATCAAATGGAATACAGTATGGGAGTGTTTTTAACACTGAATACTACTACACACACACTGATATAAAATGCCATTTAACTGGGAAGAAATATTCCATCATTGCAAGTCATATATATAACTTTTCAAAGAAAACTAGCAGCTTTTACCTGAGCTTCTAAATATTTGTGAATCTGAGACTGACTGGACTCACCCAGACTGAGGGCAAAGGTAAATGTTACTGTAGTGTCTTTACAAAGAATTTTGTCGATGTGGCCCTCACCTACAGCAGCCAGACGAGAGCTTAAGATGTCAGTCCCCGATATCTTCAGTATGGCCTTATGTCAGTTTGGGGAATGATGGTAGAGGAGAGGGAGGGATATGAGGAGGGACAGTTAGGGAAATTTGTCTCTCATGATCCTGTGCTGTATCACTGGAGGGGCTAGGATAAAGGTAAGGTCAGTGAAACATAGTAGTTTACCCTTAATGCCATATAAAAGACAGTCCATTCAGTCTATGCTTTTAACTGTGTACAAAGTATCGGCAATAATGCCTTTAGGGGCTCAGGTGAACAGAGAACATCAATCAACAAGGACTCCAGAAGGAAAACACCAAAAATGAAAAGTCCTTCAATGCCATTCCCATTACTGTTCTCTCCAAGTCAGTGGCTATAAAAGACTTGATTATTTAACTCCATCAGACAAATGTGATTTGGTTTGAGATAATCACATAGTCTCAGGCTCCACATGTAAAAATGTCAGAAGTGGCTGAAGAGCAGCAGCTGCATGCTGAAGGGACCCATTTCCTCTGATTCCAGAGCTCCACCATCTGGTCTCAAAGTTTTTCCCTCTGAGGGAATGGCTGAAGAGAGGTAGCCCAGCACAACCCTGCTGAGAGAACTTTGTAACCATAGCGATACCTAAGGACTTGCTGAGAGCCAGCGAGCGCGAGCTTTGCAACCGTTAGATCCAGAGCTCCTGAGGTTGCCTTGCAAGTCGTCTTGGGCATGCTTCAGAAAAAGGTGACGATTCTGGTAGAAGGTGGCTTTTAGGAATAAAACAGATGGCTCTTCTTCTTTCAAGTTTTTCTCCTCACCCCAAAGTCTCATGAGAACATCAGTGCATAAGCGCTACCATCTCTTTCTATCACTACCCTCCTGAAGGAGGAAGGTGAAGGTTTCATGACTCTAAGTGCTCAAGAAGAAATACCGTCAGGAAAGCTTGGTACTAACATGAAAGTTATTAAAATTAAGACTCCCAAGAAAATTTCGATAAGCTTTCAGTCTCTGAGGAAAATCATCGAAGTGATTTTCAAATGAGATGAGTAACCACCACCTACAGGTGAGTTTTGCTATCTGTCCATTTACCATCTTCTTTATGCTTTCTCACCCCTCTTAACATCCAGAGAAATTTAAAGTGAAAATAAGTTAAGAGAATCCTGAACCTGATAGAGGTAGATATCTCGTAATTTTATATTTCAAATGGATCAAACCACTCTAGTTGAGATTTTATTTTTTTATAATTAAAATAATTCAAAGGGTATGCATAAGGAAAGTATTTCTCAGCCTTTTAAAATCCATTATCTTTTGATAAACAAAACTTGCATACTCATTCTGTAATTTGTATCATGAAAAATTTACTGCATTTTCCAAATGTTTTTTTAACATATAGTCAGTCTTGTTAAGAATCATGCATAGGGCTTCCCTGGTGGTGCAGCGGTTGAGAGTCCGCCTGCCGATGCAGGGGACACGGGTTTGTGCCCCGGTCTGGGAAGATCCCACATGCCGCGGAGCGGCTAGGCCCGTGAGCCATGGCTGCTGAGCCTGCGCGTCCGGAGCTTGTGCTCCGCAACGGGAGAGGCTACAATAGTGATAGGCCCGCGTACCTCAAAAAAAAACAGAATCATGCATAGACGATTATCTCTCAAAAAGATAAAAGAAGCTGGCCCTTGGGCAGCTAAAGAGTTTAGTGTTGTTTGAGAGCAGCAGATGTCAGCTTTTCAAGGACCCTACCTAATCCAGTTCCCAGGTTAGGAGGTCAGGAAGAAAAATAATGGCTTCTTTCAAACACATATGCAAAGCCTTTCCCAACAAACAGTTGAGTCCTAAATGCAGTCTGTGCAACAGCACATACTTTTGGCTATGTTCACACAGTAAACCATAGCAACACACTGGCTCTGATGGCTACCTGTGGAAGACAGACAGACTGACCCAGTGTTTACTTAGTATAGCCACTGGTGGCTCCTTCGGTCAGCAGGACTTTAGAGATGCTTACCGTGTGCCCACAGTCCAGGAAGGACATGCCCAGTGCAATCAAACATTGCCAACCCTGAAAGAGAAAATACAGTCATCATTCACCGACCTCTCTGAAGAGCCCTCTTACCCATGACTGCCCACACTGCACTGCTCAGATACAAACCTCTTTTGCCATACTATTTTCAATACCGAGTTCCCTCTGTTCCTACTGCTTTGTGTTTCGTTCGTTTCTTTTAGCTGACTGGGAGAGTTCCCTGAAGACCACTTTTCTTCAGTCCTACCCCATTCCTCACAATAGGGGGAACGACTGATTGGCTAATACAACTGCTATAGTCTCCTGAGCTGCTCTATAAGTATACGTTTTGGAGCTAAACAGTAGTAATTCACTCTAGAATCAGCCCTAAGCCTTAAAAATGGGTCTTCAGGGACTTCCCTGGTGGCACAGTGGTTGAGAATCCGTCTGCCAATGCAGGGGACCCGGGTTCGATCCCTGGTCCGGGAAGATCCCACATGTCGTGGAGCAACTAAGCCCGTGCACCACACTACTGAGTCTGCGCTCTAGAGCCCAGGAGCCACAACTACTGAGCCCTCATGCCACAGCTACTGAAGCCTGCACGCCTAGAGCCCGTGCTCCACAACAAGAAAAGCCACCACAATGAGAAGCCCGCGCACCACAACGGAGAGTAGCCACCGCTCGCCACAACTAGAGAAAGCCCGCGCATAGCAACGAAGACCCAATGCAGCCATAAACAAACAAATAAATTTATTTTAAAAAATGGGTCTTCAACAATCTCAATAGTCTCAGGCTGACTGAGAACTCGGCACCTTCATAACCAATTTACACGAAGGAAGGATTCCCTTAAGTTCTATAGCAAATTTTAAAAACAATTTCTGTCAAGGACTGTTTTAAGCCAGTTTTAAACCAGAACCCAATACTCAGTTACTTGGGTTCCCTTGGAATAAGTCCCTATATTATGGTCAGCATAATCTTAGCGTGCCCATGGTTTACTGGGGAGGAAAAAAGAAGGGATATATCCATCCAGGGCATAATTTTCCAATATTCACTAAAATGATTTTCTCAATCAAGTACATAACCTGTAGCAGACATTGGCATGGGGACTAGGTAAGTGTTATAAAGATGAGCAGTGGGTTTCCACCCTCCATCCCTGCCATTCTCTGTAGCAGACATGGTATGAAGTCTGCTGTCCCTAATCCTCAACTCCTGTGTTTTTCAGAGAAACCTGTGTAGAATAGGGAGGTGGATTTGTTGTTGCTATAGCTGCTTTTCATTAATATAAGTAATGTTACAGAAGATCTGGAAAATAGAGAAAAGAATATATCCATAATCCCACCAGCCTAAGACAACAACTATTACTATTTTTACATAATTTACTCAGGACTTTTGAAAATTTTTTTGATTATCTAGGTATACATAATTTTGCATTCCTTTTCTATGTAGCTATATTTTATAACCATCATTTAAAAATAACCCTAGAATAACTCAATGAGAGAATATCACTATTTAATTGTGTCCTTATTGGATAGCTATTAAGTAGTAGAGCTAGGCAGGGCTGTGAACCCACATGTGCTGCTCTCCAAAGATTTGAAATCACACTCCACAGCTCCATTCTCCAATCCCATCTCGTACCACTCTCTACTTTCTACACTGCTGATCTTCTTTTAGTTCTTCAAACATACTACACTCTCTTGTTAGGAATTATTAAGAATGGAAACCAGACAGAAGTGACAGAAATAGAAAAACGATAGCTCTTAGGAACCAAGGTAAATTTTATGGTTAAAAATATTGTTTAATCACAGCTGATTTAACGACTCATTCAGGTCCTTTCATTTCTGAGTGCTAGCCACACCTTGACCACCCTGATACCTATATGCCCCTGCCCCCTCCCAAATGGACTTACCAAGTAAAACACAAAGCTCAGATAAGCTATGCTGACCACAGCAGCCACCACATACAATGCCACGTGCCCTAGTTCCTGGACATAAACCACGACAAAGTACATGTTGATGGAACAGACGATAAGGACCAAGATACCGCCTGCGATCCTCCAGCCTCTGTAAAAAGAAACAGCACAATTATTGGTGGAATAGCCAACCTGTCCACAAACATAAAAAGACACTGTGTCTTTTGGGGTACACAGGACAGGAGTTAAGAGGCATTTCAAAATGAACTGAAAAGTGGTTCTTATGTCCCAGATTAGGTTAAATGAGCCTAATCTGTTACATAATGATAGTTACATAATGATAGGGAGAAAGAGGGGAAAAAAACACTATCAGGGCTTTCCTGGTGGCACAGTGGTTGAGAGTCCGCCTGCCGATGCAGGAGACACGGGTTCGTGCCCCAGTCCGGGAGGATCCCACGTGCCGCGGAGCGGCTGGGCCCGTGAGCCATGGCCTCTGAACCTGCGCGTCCGGAGCCTGTGCTCCGCAACGGGAGAGGCCACAACAGTGAGAGGCCCGCGTACCACAAAAAAAAAAAAAAAAAAAAAAAAAAACACTATCCAATAATCCCTATTATTTAAGTCCCTGAAAATGCAAAAAGTCTTGAGTCCCTAGAGATGTAACAAGTCATTTCAAATAAACCATGTCCTTTAAAGATGTATATAAAAGGTATTAGCTTATGCCTTTCTCATCAAGATCATTTAACATGGAATTAAGGTGCTTTAAACTTAAGTGGCTGAAGCTAAAGAGTTAAAGCCCTAAAAGCTGAAAAATTTCCCCCAGAGATGAAAACTGTGCTTGCCCTCCTTTGTTACATTCACAGTCTCCGTTTTCTAAGTCAAAGACCGAGGGGGCAGCTTTAGCAATCACCTCTCAAAGCATATAGTCCCCCTATGACTTATTTTCTGACTGGCCTGTTTGATGAAGATACCCTTCCCCCATATATATTTGGGGAACTAAAAGAAGTACACTCACATTCCATTGGCAAATTCACTCATTACCGGCCGCAAGCTCGTGAATGTGAGGATGGGTATGAGAGCAAAGGGAAGCTGGAAAAGAAAAAACTAAGATCAGATAGGGCCACTCGGGGTCTTTGTATCACCCCAGAGAGTAGCACTGTTAGCAAAAGGGAAACATAAGACCCTGTCTCATCTACTTCATGAGAAATTATTCCTATCATTCCAACATGCTGGAGCATTATGTGGAAATCTGTAGAGGTGTCATTAACCTAGCATCAATTATGATCATAGTGTCTTATACATAGTGTCAGATACAAAATTTGTATCTGCCTTGTCTTCTTAATTTCCATAAAATCTAGCAGTGTCCTATACATTATTTAATGTTTGCTTGGATTAACGAACAATAGTTTTGTGTTCTATGTGTAATTATAGCTTATAATTCCCATTCAAAAAAAAAAAAAACCAAGCTTAAAAACCCAGCACTTTCTAAAAGCCTTTTAAATGCCAGGGATTTCATATGCATTTGCTATAGACCAAGACTGTGCCTCTTTCTTCCTCTGACTTTTCCCCAGCACGCAGCACTAGGCTTGGTAACTAAGGGCAATACAAAATGCTGCCTGACTCAATGGGATGTGAGTTTCCCCAGCTCCCTCCTCACCTGTAAGCTCTGAAGAACATTCAGGAAGTCATTCATCCCTGTCAGATGCTCTACATCTTGGAAGACGGCAACAAGCAGAGTGGGGATGATGGCAATAGAGCGGGTCAGAATCACTCGGGCAAAGCGTGACCACTTTAGGTTCAGGAATCCCTAGAAGGAAACACAGAAGCAGGATGAATGTCTGGAATAGGACACAGGAAAAGGTCTGGGGAGGTTCAGGAAGACCTTAGATACATGGGATTAAGAAGTAACAAAAGGGCAATGTCCTCTTCCTCTAGTCTATCCCAGTCCAAACAGCAGATACCTCCATGACAAACTGGCCAGAGTAGGTTCCTGTCATGGTGGAGCTCTGTCCTGCAGCCAGGATCCCCACTGCCCAGATGTAGAGTGCAGCAGGCCCGAAGTAACACCCCAGCACAACACCCTGGGAGAGGCAAGGGAGAAAGATATGTTTGTGTCAAAGACCACCTGAGACAACACTCCAAACAGCACGCCTCTGCGACATTTCTCCCTCTTCCTGGCTACGCACCTACCTATACCAAGTGCTGTGCTGGGCACTATAACAGAAGCTAGACTTAGGTCCTGACCTCATTCTAGAGGCTTTCAACGTAAATTCTGCTGGAGGGACCTTTATTTCTCCTGAGCCTAGTCCCTTCTCTTTTCTAGGCTCCTAAAGCCTTTATCCTCAACCTATATCTTAACTATTAAAAAAAAAAGTCCACAACACTTCCCAAATTAAATTCCTTAACACCTTATTCTACAAGATGGTAACAGGAATGAAGAGAGAGCTCAAATAAATTTTGCAAATGCTACATACTATATATTCTACTCTTGGAGGTTCACAATGTAACCAGCATAAAAGGGACAGAGAGGCCCCAGTAAAGACCACCACTTTACTAGGAACACGTTCTTTTCTTCTTTTGGCCGCCCCATGCAGCTTACGGGATCTTAGTTCCCTGAACAGGGATTGAAGCCAGGCCCTCGGCAGTGAGAGCACAGAGTCCTGACCACTGGACCACCAGGACCACCAGGGAATTCCCAGGAACACTTTCTTTAGTCACCCCAATTAACGTCCTATAGAACAATATTCTATGAACACAAGTTTGGGAATTGCTGATACAATTCATCTTTTCAGCTGATCTTCTATTCCCTTCCACGTAACCCAAAAGGCTTGTCCAGCATCTGGACCTCTGAAAAAAACACACTCCGGAGAAGATACGCTGAGCTCTGAAGTGAGCCCACAGAAAAGACCAGACACTATGCTAAGAATATTGATTCAGGAGCAAAGATCAGAAGTCTGGATAGGTTTACCCCTTTGTAGATGTCCACAGCCAGTGTTGAGTTATCGTCAGGAAAAAGGTGAGTATGGGGACTGCTGCTGTTTCTACAGACTTCAACCTGGAACCAAAGCAGTCGAGGAACAACTTTTACTTCTGAGGCCAACACCCAGACAAGAAGCCCTCTCCTACAGATCATACACAGGTCACCCCAGAGATGGATGCTGAAGGCAAGACACTGGACACAGGTTATGATAAGGGCAGAGACGGGCTGCAATGTCCCTTGAGGTCTTCCTCCGTAATCTTTCTACACCCCCGTGCCATCAAAAACATTTACTGAGTTAGAGTGCGCATGGTAATACACGAATGCTGGGTCATTTTAAATGATGACAGGAGGCGAGGGCCCTTAAGAGGGCTTCAGATACGATAGAACGCCCAGAATAGGGAGTCCTTAGTCAAAGCAGAGCCAGGAGTCAGAAGTCCTATAGATAAGAAAGTAGTGATCAAAACCAGATAGGCAATCAGGAATCAAGATGACAAAGAATTCAAAAGGACAAGACAGTCTATGTAGCCACAGCTTCTGTTTTCTGTTTGTTGGCTCCTCCCAGCCTGTCACCACCAAATGGCAGAACTGGCAAGTGGCTAGTAGTTGGGTAGCAGGAAACAAATAGGGATGACGAAGAGTCAAACAGGCGTGAAGCCACTAATAATAGCATGAGGCAATCTTTGTCTGAGGCAAGCTCCCTTCCCTGTCAAAAGCTTGGAAAGATGGGTCTAGGCTTGGTCACAGCCCCCAGACTGTAAACCACGACTAGTGCAGTGATTTAGGGAGCAGCATTGAGGCTTGAGATCTATTTCCCCTGAGCTCTAAGTCACTGTCACCTTTTCCTACCCCAATCCAGCCTCCTCTTTACCCTCACATTCACTACCACCCAGGACCCTGGCTTACTCACCACCTGCTCGTTGGTTTTCTCAAAAAATGCTTCAGCAAAGACTGAGACGACAAAGACGTTGATGATAAAGGAAACAAAAAGAGCAATGCAGGATTCAATGAAAAAGTACTTATTGGCTTCCCGAACTTCCTCCTTATTGGCTCGGTCTACCTGTCTGGACTAGAGAGATAACAGCCATGGTCATTTTTTTGACTAGTTGGAACAAGTTTCCTTGTAATATTTCATGAGTTTGGAGTCAGCTGAAAGACCTAGAGGGCAAATAACTGACCACATGAAATGTGAGAGACTCTGCTTACATCCTGGTTCACTGAGTAAGAACTCCATGACCCTCTGATGATACCACACATCCCCAAACAGGGAAAAGTGACTGAGTGACTGCTGAGCTCTCAGTTACTGTGGCTGCAAGAACCACTGACCTGGGCTTCCCTGGTGGCGCAGTGGTTGAGAGTCCACCTGCTGATGCACGGGTTCGTGCCCCGGTCCGGGAAGATCCCACATGCCGCAGAGCGGCTGGGCCTGAGCCACGGCCGCTGAGCCTGCGCGTCTGGAGCCTGTGCTCCGCAACGGGAGAGGCCACAACAGTGAGAGGCCCGCGTACCGCAAGAAAAAAAAAAAACCACTGACCTACAAAAACAACCTGATTTCAGACCTAAGGGGTAGATAACCTTAATTACAAAGGTCTCTGAAATCTCCCAGCAAACTATTGTGTTGGACTGACTGGTAAAAGCCAGGTTGGGCTCTTTCCTCCTGACCTCCACGAGGCCACTCAGGCTTTTGATATTTAAACACAAGAGACACAGTGCACCTTCAGACTTTTTAAGAGGGACTTTAGTCCCTTCTTTATGGGGTCAGTTATCTCTGGTCACCTTGGTGATTAAAACAGAGTCCAAGTGTGTAGAGTCCAACTGTGGAAAAACATCTTGGTCCTTCAGGGCTCTAACAGTTGTAAACTAAGTATATGTCCCTTGCAACCAAAGGAAAAGATCCCATGAACTACACAGGCCACTGAGATACGGGTTTTGCTTACCTTGACTAAAGCAGAATGCAGGTACATGTTGTGTGGCATGATAACAGCACCCACGATGCCCACAGCCTGCTCGATTTGTGGGGTATGACAGCCTGAACAGGATGGCAGGAACATGCCTTTGAGGACCTGGGTCTGGCTGGGTTTCACTGTAACATACTACATACCAACCAAACAGCTATTAGCCTTTACTGGAATATGAGACCAGGGGAGTAACACAGTGCTAGGGAACACTCTGCAACCTTTACTCCTTAAACCCCTTCATCAACAACTACATAGGAAATGAGGAATACAGAACCATCCAAAAAAACCAAGCAGTACAAGGTCAGAGAGTTTAGGACTGGGGTATCCAGATACTTCACATCATATTTTAGATAAACAAAATAGATGTGTAGAGAATATAATTAATACTCTAAAGAAATAAAATGGCTACTAAGGGCCTTATTGATATTAGCTTCACAGTAACTCCTGTGAGACACACCCAAGAATAGAGAGTCAGTTCTTGATTACCCACACTAATCATGCTCCTGTGTTCACCTATGTATGTAAAAATCACTTATGTTTGCCACTAGCGTCTGCTGAGACTCATTCAGAGACACTTCTCATACACACTTTTTCCTGGTTTGGCACTTCTCTTGGAAGCCTTAGACCAAGCTGTATCATCTACTCAGAGTAGATACATTTTTAAAAGTTTGCTAAGCCAGGGACTTCCCTGGTGGCACAGTGGTTAAGAATCCGCCTGCCAATGCAGGGGACACGGGTTCGAGCACTGGTCCAGGAAGATCCCACATGCCGTGGAGCAACTAAGCCTAAGTGCCACAACTACTGAGCCCGCATGCCACGACTACTGAAGCCCATGTGCCTAGAGCCCGTGCTCCACAACAAGAAAAGCCACCACAGTAAGAAGCCCACGCACCGCAATGAAGAGTAGCCCCTGCTCGCCGCAACTAGAGAAAGCCCATGTGCAGCAACGAAGATCCAACACAGCCATAAATAAATTAATTTAAAAAAAAAAGTTTAGCTAGGTCAATAAGCAGAAATCAGTTTATAACAATTGGACATAGAAAGGTGCTATTACTGTAGGTGCATATAACAGTAGGGTTAGGGTTAACCCAATGGAGTATCTGGGTTGGGGGACAAACCGGGAAACATGCACTATATCCCCTATAGTTCATTAACTGCTGCATTACAGAGAAAGTCCAAGCTGCAGTTATTATCAACCAGGATGAACAAAAACAGAATCCCTCTAAGGTAACAGCCACGAATAACCCTGCAATCCCTTCCTTAACCCTCTCCAAGGCTGTTCTGTTATTGGGATGGCCAACTTGGAACCAGGGAGTCTAGTCTGGAAAGTCCTAGAAATTCTAATCATTTTTGACCTAGGAGTCCCTGCAGGCCTTCCTGGACACTAGTCTTTGCTACCTCTTATTCCTTCCAAATTTGCCCAGGACTGAATTTGGCTTTTTGTTAACAAATACTGTCTTTTATAATAAAAGGGAAAAAAAAATTGTTTTAAAAAGCTAATGAACAGCCTATAACACTTGCCTCGTATCCAAATGTGAGGGCCATAATAGTGATGAGAAAACCAAAAAATGCTTCTAGCTTCCGCAAGCCTAAGGGAGAAAATGCAGCAGTGAGCTCACAGAAGGCAGACTTCCCCATCAGCCACGTGATGGAAAGCAGCTCCTTTGATTGACCCCTCCATTCCCACTCTGCTTACCATATTTGTCCAAAAAGAGAAATACAAAGGTATCTGCAATGGTGATAAGAACTCCGCCCCACAGCGGGACCCTAGGTCAGAGATAAGAAATGCAGATTAAAGGAAAGAAAAGAAACATTGAGAAACACTCTCTTCCCAACAGCTCTCCAGCTATACAACACTTGGAGGAGCAAGGACTTAGGGAAAAGGGAACAGTGGCAGGAGGCCAGGCACAGCACCAGGTAAAATAGCACATTCATTCAAACTTTGTTTACTATTTCAGACAACCAGGATACAAAGCTGAAAAGTATGGGTCTTATCTCTCAAGGAGCTCACTTGTCTAGTGGGATAAACTGACATACAAATTAATTGTAATACACACTGCCACACCCTGGATAATAAAGGGTGTGTTGGGTCTCATGACCCAACATAAGAACACGGAAGATATAGAACCTACATTTGCGAAGAAGAAGGTGGTTCCAGAAAGGTTCCACAGAAAAAGTACTGATACTTGAGCTGAATCTTGAAAATTGAAAATGAGTTGGGTTTTTGTTTTTACACTTGCTTGGAAATCTAGCAAAACATTGATTACTTTCTAGAGAAAAACCCCTCACCTTCCTACAGAGAGGAGATTGATGGCAATAGCGGAGCCAATAACTTCTTGCATATCTGAGCCAACGATAGCCAACTCCACCATCAGCCACAGGATAATTCGTGGAACCTAAACACCAAACAGCAGAAAGATACGGTTCTAATTAATCATTTCTAAGAACTTCCCCCATAGTTTGGAATTCACATTTTGGCACTGGTCCATAAACAGTCCTTTAAAAGCTTTCAGTCTAGAGATAAAGTACCAGAACTCAGCTCCACTTGGCCCCTTGCTGGAGAAGACCAGACTGCTTCTATGTGGCAGAGCCAAGGTCAGGGCAGCAGCTGACTCCAATTTTTTTCTCCTTCCTTTCCTCTTGACAGAAGAATGGAATTTCCATCCATTATTTCCAATTAATTTTTTTGCCTGAAAACAATCCTAAAAGTCTTAGGGGAAAATGAGGATGCTAAGATGGTCAAAATATTGTTCAGGAGAGAATAGAAATGCTGCAGAAGAAAATATCTATCCTGACCATAGCTGAAGAGACAAAACAAGCATGAAAAGGTTGGAGTCATCCTTAATGTAGTAATGCACAAGCAAGTAAAAAAGACAAATATCCAAAGGGACTAGGGGCAAAGTGGTTGGGATTGGGTGTTCTATAACAAAATCTGTGAACTAATCTGGTCAAATAATCCAGCAGAAAGCAATTAAGTAGTGCTGGCTCACTGAGGCCAGGGAAGAAAAAAAAAAACACCTCCAGGTATCTACTACCCAAAAAATATGTCACAAAAAATAACTGCTAAGATACATGAAGAAAGAGAAGCTAAAAGAAATTATAAATTATCAAGGGGTTTTTTTGTTTTGTTTTGTTTTGTTTTTTTGAGAAGCATATAAGAAAAAGAAACAAACAAACAAACAAAAAAAAAAACAGGTAAGAATACTTTCTCAGAGCCAGGAAAGGAGATTAAACATATCGGACAAACTGCAGGTAGATTAGTACTTATCTAAAGATCAGGCCAGTTTAAAGCTGTCTTCCAGACATTGGGTCCATCCATTCCTGCCTTAGGTAGCAGCAAGAAAGGCCCAAAATACCCAGAAGGAAACTACAGAGGACAGTGTAAACTCCAGGGTCAAGGTAAACTGAAAAATCATTATTAACAAATCCAAAGATCCTGCGTAATATAATTTGCAGTAAAAGGAAAAAACTCACTTTCTTCAAAGTTATGGCAAAGACAAACAAAAAAGAAAATATGCATAATGCAAAGTGATGGAGTACTATGGATGTATGAATGAAAGTGCTTAGACAGAACACCCCTGCCCCTTTGTGAACTGGGCACTGCTAGGTACCAAAAGGCAGAGTGAAAGGTAAATGTTTACTCAAACAGAATTTTTCTAAGGAAACTTTCTGGGAAGTGTGAATCTCATGTTAGATTTTGAAGGAGCACAGAAACATGGGTCAGCTGCGAGAGGGGCTATAGAATTTCCCTTGGGATTCCCAGTCCTCAGGGCCACGGATCCCTACATCCTCCACTATTTCAGTATACAAGGGGGCCAGCACAGGTTGCCAGACACAGAGTCACCTATGAGTAACAGACAAACACTGCTCACCCTGGGATACTGACGGTGACACACTTCAGCAAGATGCAGCCCAGTGACCACTCCCAGTCTAGCTGCAAGGCGCTGGAGCAGGAGCCCCACGATGGTGGCCATCAGAAGAACCCAGAGCAACTAGAGAAGAACAAAATCCCACCATTACACTCATTAGATAACTGGGATTTTTTTGTTTGGTTGTTTGGCAATGTGAATGGGAAACACTACGTTCAGGCAAGAGCGCCGGTCAGGAATCAAATGACCTGAGTTCTGCATCATGTTCTGCACAGAACCTGCTAGGTCACCTTGCACCTTTCTGAGCCTTAGTTTCTCCCATCTGCAGTTTCTCCTGTGTTCAAGGAAACTATGTGGGTAAAATAAAATAAAAAACCATCTATGTGGATAAAATAAAATTTAAAAACAGATGGAAAAGTACTTTTCGCTGAAGTGTCACAGCCAATGAAGCATCAGCATGTAGCCACTGAGGTTCACATCCAACAGAAAGAGTAGAGGAAAAGGATGTGGTATGCTACGTGTGTTCAAACGGGAAAGGGGCAGGACTCGATGTTCACCTTAAATCCAGCCACTGCTCCAGACTGCAAATCAGATTCAATGTTTCCTGGATCCAGGTAGGCGATGCTCATAAGAAATCCTGGTCCCGTGAAAGCCCAGAGTTTACGAAAGCTAAAACAAGAGTACTGCACAAGAGAGGAAAACAGATCAAAATGATTATCACCTCCAAACTGCTGATCTAATTTATCTATTATTTTGTCACATATAAAGCAGCAATATTAGCTTCATAAGAACATTTAGGAAGTTGGATACTGGGTGTGCCCAAGTTTCACGTCCATCTTATCCACTTCTCATCAATAAGCTGGCCACCTCTCTGTCCAAATAAGAGGCCTTCTCTTTACCTGCTCTTTCCAACAGGCTTTCATTCTAAAACCCAAGCAGTAATATCAGTACCTCTGTGCACAACCACTACCCAAATAGGACAAAAGGCACTGTAAAAAAGGGAACATGGAATTCATACTTTCCTGGTGAAAAAATGCTCACTAGTCCAACTTGGCAACGGGTTTTTCAAGGCCCTCAGTTTCCTTATCAGTTTCTGTTTACCCTGATTACAAAAATTCAGTCTTCAGAGATTGCATGCCAGAATTAGACCTGAAGCTGTTGGTCTGGAGTTGTCCAGCAGACTTTCCACTCATAGGTTGTCCCTAGATAATAATGTTTTCCTCCAAGGACCTGTCACTAACCTCCTCCTCAGGAATGGCGATCTTCTCATCAAAGTACGTGGTGAAAGGCTCCTCTGAGTGCCCCCCGGGGGACTGTGAAAGAGAGGAGTTACTGTAGGCAGGGTTGATGGCCCCAAGACTGGCAGAATCCCCGTGGTCTCCAGAAGCATCTTCTGAATTAACAGGTTTGAGAAGAAATGAATTAAAGTGAACAAAATACACTAACATCTCATCCTTAGAAATGCTGATATTAAATCTTTTTAATACCTAAATGCACAAGATCAACCTGACTCTATCTCAATTTCTAGTACTTTATTTTTATTTATATTTTTAATAAATTAATTTTTGAATAGGTAATATGTTCACATGGCTGGAAATTTGAGAAGTACAAAAACGCTTATGATAAAAAAGCTCCCTCTCACCCCTGTTCCCCTGTCAGTCAGCTCTACATCAGTTTTCAGCATGAATCTCACAATGGTTTCCCCCTACTTTCACACTTCTATTCCCACTTGCCAATTTTTAGAACCATTTCATTTTCTTCTAAAAACAGTGATGTCTAGGGCTCAATGTATTGAATAACATCCCCAGACTAGTCCCACTGGTAACCTAAAATCCTAACTTTTAGAAGGAAATAGGTCAGTCTAGTGGGACCCTCCCCTCTCTCCTCCTCCCTGTCCCCCATTATTTGGTTAGGACTTACTCAAAGAATCATCCTTGGCCATTATACCTCCCTCAGGCTTCTCCAAAAATGTGTAAATTGCAAACTCCTGCCACATTTCAGGCTAAAATCTGAAGCTGCAGGGAAACCACCAAACAGGAACCCTCCTGACTAAGGCCTGCAGTGAAGAGCTTGGGAGGGGAGGTGCCACCCTCCTGATAGGAGGGCTCATCTCAGATTAATCATCAGTGTTTCCTTGAATCCTACATTTTGCAGTTAATTTTAAAAGCAGGGAGGGGGAGGGTCTGGGAGAAAAGGGCTCAGTTTGCTGTAGCCTTCAAATGGCTATTTTTAACCACAAAGCTCTAATCTCAGGGTTTCCAAGAAACCTTTGCAACATCCAATCAGAAAAACAAAAGCTTTCTTTCTATAGGGAACTGACCCACTTCACCTTAAGTGGCACTGAACTGAGGAGGAAATGTACAGAAAAGGAATGGAAATTCTAAAGGAGAAATTTAGAATCAGGAAGAATTAGTCAAAGCACATAAGAAGTCTCATGAAATACACTATTAGGTGCTGGCTCAGTATTTTACTGTTCCATGCATATCTGAAGTGCCATGAGCAGACAAAGCACTCTACAGGTTTTTATGCCAGGTCTGCAAATAATACTGCCTTTACAAGCATTACTGCTATAGAAACCAAACTTGTAGCTAATCTTGGCTCATCTCAGAACTGGAAGTAAGATATGAGGCAAGTCTCTGTGGTTATAAATCCATTTTCATTTACAGCCTAAGTTACCAGGTGGTGACTTCTGAATGGAGCAGGTCTCCATGATGATATTGTTGGCTGGGGGAGAGGAGGTGGGGACAATTTTTGTTGGAACAGAAGACAAGAAGGACAATATGTTAAATTTCTGTTACTGGCTTAAGCCTAATTCCAAATAAAAAATAGACAATAACACAAAGCTGTAAATTACCATCTGGCTTCTTCTGTTCAGGACCCAACACCATGGTGGATACCTGAGTGTCTGAGTTCTTAGAATAAGATTCTGGAAAGGAGAAAAGAGAGGGAGAGGAATTAGCAAGAACAAACTAAAACTAACAAGTTCAGAACCAGCATTCTGTTACTCTGTATGACTGAACCCTTATTATGTTAAAAGAATAATTGTTCTACTGAATTAGATAACCTTGAAAATAATTACAGTTTTCAGAATATGATTAAGAGATATTTAATAAAAAATTTAAAATCTTAATCATGTTTTTGCTGGCAAGACTTCAAAACCAAATTGAAGCAAAAGGTATTTCAGGGAAGTGGGCAAATAGTTTTTTTTTTTTTTGTGGTACGCGGGCCTCTCACTGCTGTGGCCTCTCCCGTTGCGGAGCACAGGCTCCGGACGCGCAGGCTCAGCGGCCATGGCTCACGGGCCCAGCCGCTCCGCGGCACGTGGGATCCTCCCGGACGGGGGCACGAACCCGTGTCCCCTGCACCGGCAGGCGGACTCCCAACCACTGCGCCACCAGGGAAGCCCGGCAAATAGTTTTTAATAAGCATCCACAGAGAGGCTGCTAGGCAATTACCCAGTCTCTGCCTCCAGATTAACCCAAATATTTAAAAGACTGACCCCCCCCCCCATTTTGATGAGTTTTTAAGGACAGAGATCTATAACTCTCTTTGATCTAACTAACAATTTAAGCTCATGTTTCAATTTTCTGGAAAGGGGGAAGGGGAAGCACCTCACCAGCACACTGGTAGTACAAGTAGAGGGTCACTATTTCCCAGCCTCACATTTCCCTGGAGACTTCAGCTGTAAGGTTTCAGGTCTCATTCCCCAACACTTCAACAACTGGGAGAAGAAACTAATGACCATGGCCCTCCCCTCCTGGGCTCTCAAGGAGAGCTGAGGCACCAGGAGGACAAGGCAGCATGCCTGCACTTCTCTCCCTCAGCAATAAGCAGCCTGAGGCGGGGCTGGGGTGAGGGGGTATCCCAGATGTCCAGCATCCTATTGGGTTAAGTTTAACTGGGGGGGCAGGGAGATATTAGTAAGCCCATTGGGCCACAGATCTATGGCATATTCTCCAGTCAATCCCACCAATAAGGCTGATTTTGTAAAATTTTGATCTACTGATTAAGGAATCTATTTCTCAGTTGATTCCAAATTTAGAAAGGGAAAGGTAAGCAGTATTAATTGTTAAATGCCCCCCCTTAAATTCCAATAACTAATCTACTGAAAAAGTGATGAAGCCTCCCCTTAGCTAACTTTTACTAATTAAATAGTCTTTTCCCACTATTGTACCTTTATTGCCCCTATTTGAACAGTGCTCTACTTTCTTTGATAGTCTATCAACATATTCTATACATATTTTGCAAAATTACAGAATTAAGATCTGAAGGGGGTTTTAGGTTTCATCTATCTTCTGGAATGTAAAACATATCACCACTTGCTAATTTGGAAAACATAATCTTTCATGTCTATAGTCACCAATATCAAGTATCTTGTTATAATGAACAAGAGTAACGTCCTTCCTATCAGAGTTTGAGTGAGCCACCAGATGGTTTCGCCAACAGATCCCAAAACTACTGACTAAATCCAACCCCTCTTTCAGCCAGTTACAATAGCACCTCACCTAAATGGGATTTACACATCCGACTACTCAGTAGCAGTGCCACTTGGATTCCAATCACAGCACAGCTCCTAGGCCCCACTCAGAGCCTTTTTACTTTTATTTTATATATAATTCTAAGAAGCCAGGATAACACACAATAAACTAGAAACCACAAATCAGATCTGAGACTATGGCTCTTACGGGAAAGTCTTGGGCTATTTGGTATGAGGCAACTTCCTTATACTTCAATCAGCTCTGAGAACATTATTATGAAGAATATTACTGGGAGGACTTCCCTGGTGGTCCAATGGTTAAGACTACACGCTCCCAACGCAGGGGGCCTGTGTTCGATCCCTGGTCAGGGAACTAGATCTCGCATGCCGCAACTAAAAGATCCCACATGCTGCAATGAAGATCCCGCGTGCTGCAACTAAGACCCGGCATAGCCAAATAAATAAATAAATATTTTTTAAAATATATGTATTATTGGGAATTCCCTGGTGGTCCAGTGGTTAGGACTCCGTGCTTTCACTGCCAAGGGTGCAGGTTCGATCCCTGGTCGGGGAACTAAGATCCCACAAGCCACACAGAGCACCATCCTCCCCCGGCCCCCGCCAAAAAAAAGAATATTATTATTAGGAGTTCTCTGGTGGCCTAGTGGTTAGGATTCTAGGCTTTCACTGCTGTGGCCCGGGTTCAACCCCTGGTTGGGGAACTGAGATCCTGTAAGCTGCACATTGCAGCCAATAAATAAATTAATTAATTAATTAATTAAAATAGGAAGAAGTGCAAAAAAGCATTAACAGTGGTTTTTTTTTTTAAAGAATATTAACATTATATTATTATTAAGAATAACTCAAGGGGCTTTCCTGGTGGCGCAGTGGTTGAGAGTCCGCCTGCTGATGCAGGGGACACGGGTTCGTGCCCCGGTCCAGGAGGACCCCACATGCCACGGAGCGGCTGCGCCCGTGAGCCATGGCCGCTGAGCCTGCGCTTCCAGAGCCAGTGCTCCGCAACGGGAGAGGCCACGACAGTGAGAGGCCCGCGTACCGCAAAAAAAAAAAAAGAATAACTCGAGTTTCTAATTGCAGTCCTACTCACGAAGAACCAATTCAATTAGATTACTTTTGCACTGATGACTGATATCCTGTTTCAGAAGGCACAGAAGTGTTTAACACATGTGAGTAAGATTCCTATCCAAAACAGGCCTTTAAAACTTATATTTAAAAAGCAGGACTTCCCTGGTGGCACAGTGGTTAAGAATCCGCCTGCCAGTGCAGGGGACACGGGTTCGAGCCCTGGTCTGGGAAGATCCCACGTGCCGCAGAGCAACTAAGCCCATGTGCCACAACTAATGAGCCCGCACTCTAGAGCCCGCAAGCCACAACTACTGAGCCCGCATGCCACACTACTGAAGCCCGCGTGCCTAGAGCCCGTGCTCCACAACAAGAGAAGCCACCGCAATGAGAAGCCTGAGCACCACAACAAAGTGTAGCCCCCGCTCACCACAACTAGAGAATGCCCACATGCAGCAATGAAGACCCAACGCAGCCATAAATAAATAAATAAATAATTTCTTTTTTTAAAAAAACAAACAATTGAGATAGTAGTGTGTTTTTCCCCAAGTCTGAAATGTGAAAAGGTGTTAAATAATTTTAAACAGAAATATCTCAAGATAAAATTTTTAATAATTACTATTAGTATTTTAAGTGATTACTCCCATGATTACCTACAGAGCCGATAAAATACAAGAAGTCTGAAATCTCAGGAATATATTATTCCAAGAGAGAAAATGATTCTAGATTCCAGCATTTTTTTTTTTTTTGGCAGCACCTCTCAGCTTGCGGGATCTTAGTTCCCTGACCACTGATCAAACCAGGGCCCCAGCACTGAAAGCACCGAGTCCTAACCACTGGGCCGCCAGGGAATTCCCTAGATTCGAACTTTCTCATCAAAACATTGAGTCAACAAACTATAAACTCCACTGTTTATAGTGTCTAGAGAATATAACTATGGCAGGGAACAGAGGGTCAGTATGCTTGGTGTGCTGCACAGTATTTAAGTCTCCATGAAAACTGAACACCCATATGGAAGCAGTAAGTTAAGAGTAAGACAGTTTTGCTCTCTAGGACCATACCACCAGGTCATTTCAGTCATTTAATTACATTAAGAAAAAGATCGGGCTGACCCAGTGGAGCAGTGGTTAAGAATCCACCTGCCAGTGCAGGGGACACGGGTTCGAGCCCTGGTCCGGGAAGATCCCACATGCTACGGAGCAGCTAAGCCCGTGCGCCACAACTACTGAGCCTGTGCTCTTGAGCCCTCGAGCCACAGCTACTGAGCTTGAGTGTCACAACTACTGAAGCCCGCGCACCTAGAGCCCATGCTCCGCAGCAGGAGAAGCCACCGCAATGAGAAGCCCACACACAGCAATGAAGAGAAGCCCCTGCTCGCCGCAACTAGAGAAAGCCCGCACGGCGACAAAGACCCAATGCAGCCAAAAATAAATAAACAAAAAGAAAATTTTTTAAAAAAGAAAAAGATCAAGTGGAGACACAAGCAACAAGAATCAACCCAGCAGTACTCTGATAACTATGATTAACACTGCTTTGATATTCTAGCTCACCCCCAACCACTAAGTGTCACCTTTTCTTAAAGCCAGTAAGTTTCCTCCTCTCGACAGCAGGAAAAAAATGGCACTCATGGTTCAATGTAATAACTATTTTATCCGATTCCTTATCAAAAGTTGTAAGACTATTTTACAAGATAAGAATGCTAATTACATTTTGTCTAAACGTCAAAAGCCTACATATCCTTTGACGCAGCAATTCCATTTCTAAGAATGCATACTGAAGAAACAGTCCCACAGGAAGTATGTGCAAGAATATCTCCCACAGCACTGTTTGTAGTGTAAAAAGACTCAAACAACCTAGTACATTTATAGGATGGAACGCCATAAATAAGGCAGATTTATATGGATTAATAGGAAACAATCTCCAAGATATACTGTGAAGTTAAAAACCCAGTTTATAGAACAGCATGCTATCATTTATGTAGCAAAAAAGAGAAAGAGAGAGAGAGAGAGAATACACACATACATGTACAGACGATATCCAAAGGACATGCCAAAAACTGGTATTGCCGTCCCTAAGAGGAAGCAGTGGGGGAGCACAAAAGAGGTCAGGCGAAAGGAAGACCTCTCACTGAATATACACTGTTGTATACAGTTTTGCATTTAAAAAATTTTTTTTACCATGTACCTGTATTGTTTATTTTTTTAAAACATAAAGGTCACATAGGTTTACTCAGTTTCTCAACGAACACCTCAGGGACGTTCAGTTTCTCAATGAACACTTCAGGGACTTATCAGTTCTCTCTGATAAAGCTTCACAAGGGACAATCAGAGATCTGAAGCCGTCTGGTGAGCAGGCATATATGGCCT